GTAACAAACCCAACACATTTTACAATCTATAAACTCCAAATGTGTTTGAAAATCCTGATTAGTTTCTCTCAGACGGCCTGGAAAGGTGATACACCTGGCAGTGTCTTCAATTACAGTGGCCTTTCTCGATGCTTGGCACCTTGTTGCCATGGTAGATTAAAAAGTGCATGGGTAACGTCTGCGCCGCAGGTGGCCTGTTGTTGATATCAGCTTAGCATTTGGATAAGCAGCACAGTGGTAATCCAGCTGCTCCAACATTTTAAAAGGGCAGATGTGTTACCCAAAGCCTAAAATGCTCATTTCCATTCAGCATGCTTCAGCCGTTTGTTTCGGACAGAGTGTGTGTGGCTGTTTGCCAGGAGGAGGGTCTGAATCTATTGCTCTGAGTGCTTTCATCGTGCATGTATACACACACAGATTGGCCAGGGTACATTCAGGCACCCCCTCAATTCTCTTCATTGGCCTTATTCTGTTATGAGCTCAGTGCAGATGGTACAGACCTTCTAATGGTTTTAACCTTGCCGGGCTCAGATTAATGGCCCAGCTTGAACCAAGAAGTACAGAGGCCAATTAAGTCCTGAAAAACATTCCCCTTCTGCAAATCTGCATCAGGCACACGAGCCTCCCCCCTTTAATCTCATTGTGAGGTGCTATTTAATCAAATACTCTCATCCTCTTGATCCTCCATTGTTCATACCTGAATCAGTTTGATGGTCAAAGAGGTTTTTACTATTTTACGGGGAATCTAGTCAGCTAAAGAGAGAGAGGGAGCATAGGAAACAGTCTTTCATTTTTCTTGTAGCTAATATCCTGCTTCAGACCAGTTTTGGCTTTGTTACTTACATCAACCTTCTTCCCGGTTCCCCCGCCAAACCATCTGCCACTGTGAGGGCAGCATAATTACCCCAAACAACCCCCTTCCCCCCGGACCACAGCCTCTGGGTTTCTGATTAGATGTACCCCACCTCATATGACCCTATGTTACCCTCCTTGCCTCAGACAAGGAAACTCAAATGTTATTTGAGTTAGACAGCAATACAGCATTTTCAGTGCTAAGTTAGTTTTAATGCAGGGAGCACAAATATTTTAGCTGACTTTCAGTAGTGGACTCTCTTGACCTTATTTATAATGTGATGAATGCATTGCTTCATGCATATTTGCTGATAGATAAAAAAATATATTTTAAATTATTTTTGGTTTTTAAATGATAAAACCAAATTGTATCTGAAAACAATTTATGTTGGACGTTTTCTCAAGTTCACACAAGTGTCATAGTAGATAAATCCATAGGTGTAGTTCATCAGATCACAGAAAGTGCTCAAATACATTTTTTTCATCTTAAAGAAGAATAATAATAATGATAAAATATATAAAACAATATATGATAATAAAAAATAATATGTATTTAAATAAATATATATGAAATAAAAATATAATATATATATAATTTATTATCTATTATTCAAAACATTTATGATAAATTATATATTTATATAATGTAAGTTTAATGTATATATTTATAATGTATAAAATAATAAATATAATACATAAAACAATAAATGACTATATATTACTCTCTCTCTCTCTCTCTCTATATGTATTTTTCAAGTACACAGTGTCTTGGTAACATATTACACTAACATTTGAAGGCCACAAAGTGTCTAAATACATTTTTTCATCATTTGAACAGTATTTCCATTGTCTTCTATTTGTGATATGTTTTGCTTGAAAGGTGCTATCTTTCATTAAAATAAATGACCAAACAAGTGCCCAAAAACTTTATTTGGGACCCCTTTATGTATCCCCACTAATAAAACACATGCCAACTAACAATAAAAGAGTCACAGCCAGGTTTGGATCTTAAACACGGTTCCCATGTTGACATACAAATTATCTCAAATTTGTAGTATGAAATGGTCTGAACTGTTTAAAAGAGGGTGTTGGTCATAATACTCGCTGTTTTGACCAAATGTTGAGATAAATGGAACTTCCATTCCATTAAAATTCCACAGCTTATTATTTATTGTGTAACAGTTTTGTTAAGTTTCCATAAATAGTCAATGGGATTCACAGGCAAATTCACTGGTGATCTCTTTATCTACAGCAGAGAGGCTTGATAATATTGCAGCAGGAAACACTGAGCTGTGTTTGTACACAGGTCAGAAATAATCCAAGTCCAAGAAATCACACACATGCACACATGCTGGTTGTGCAGGCTCGTCGCCACAGATGAGCGCAGTGGGTGAATAAACATGTATAATCTGAAATCTGTGCAGAGATTACAGTATCTCTAATCCAAATACTCTTATTGGGAACATTTTCTCATATGCATTAACGTTAGAAGAGTGTTGAGGATATATTTTTACATTTAAAATGCATGACTCTATGATTTGTATATATAAATCTTCAATAGTCAGAAGATTATAAATGTCAATAAAACTTCATGCAACAAATAATGTCATTTAATCTTAGAGCATTGCTCTACTTGGTGGTTTGCTTTGCGTTTGAATGTATATTTGCTTCACAGAGGGGCTGTGTCTCTCCCCATCTCTTTTTCTCTCTTTCTATCAAACAGACACTCACTCACTCTGTCCGGGATGGATATCGCATTTATTTTTAGAAACAGTGGGTTTGGCCAGCAAGAAGCTTAGTATACATCATGTGGCTGAGGCAGACAGCTTTGAGGAGAGGTCGAGAGAGGCAGAAAGATACACAATTAGCTACTGCTTCAAATAAACCCCACACATTTATCTCATTACCATAATGTAAAAATACCACAGTCTTGTCTCTATTGCAAAAAAAGGAGTGAAAACAGTGATAATAATATTGTAAAGTATTTATTCTTCATGGTAGTATTTGTTTTATTGCCTCTAACTACTTACATTATCACAGTGAGTTTGGTTATATAACGATAATTAAAAAAAAAAGGCTTATAATATGCATATATATATATATATATATATAATGTAAAACAAATGACATTTTCTCAATTTAATTTGTATGTGTAGGCCTATAAATCCTGGAGTATAATGAATTCTCTAACATCAGCTGACAGTTTAATCTGTATATTCATGACAATACAATGTGTTTTTTTTGATATGCAAGGTTCTGAGAAAATTGCTTAACGTCTGAATAAAAACTTTTGTATAAATTTGTGTTTAAATCTTTGTTTAAATCTGCTTTTTGTGTCTTTTTAATGTAAAGCAGTCTCTTTCCGTATTGTGAAGCTGTTAAGTGCTGTAATCGATGTTACCGGGTGTTAATTCCCATTGAGAGCCTGAATAAAACAATGGATTCATAGTATTAGTGCTGCCTGGGGGAGAAAAACCCAATGTTTGTCACTCACATGGCTGCTCCTAGTATCATGGTTGAGAGAGGCTGCCCACCATCTGCTGCTGTAAACAATGTTTCCTGGCTCTGCCACCCTCTCTCACACACTCACTGCATCCAGAGACAGCGTGCAAGGTTCAGCATAGATTAAAATGCCTTAGGGAACGTTTGAACTCTGCTCTCAAAATTCACATCCTAAATATTTGAAGAAACCCATGATTTACTTAAGGCATAAATGTAAAAATATGAATGAAAGATAACAGTGTTCCTTATTTAAATGCACACTACTGTTCAAAACAGTAGTGTGTACTGTTCACACTACTGTTGTTTTTTTCATAAATTATGCACTAAATTGGTAAAAAATGACAGTTAAGACTTTTACATTGATACAAAAGATTGGTATTTTTTCTTTAAAACTATTTAATTTGTTCCACAAAAATGTTTTTAACATGGATAATAATATGAAATTAATTGGCATATTAGAATGATTTCTGAAGGGTCATGTGACACTGAAGACTGGAGAAATGGCTGCTATTTCATTCTTATGGTGAGCATAAGAGACATCCTTCTAAAACATTCAAAATCTTACCGACCCCAAACGTTTTGAACAGCGAATAATACACTCTTAAAAAAAATCAATGGCAAAAGGACATTCATAAAATGAGAGCTTTATTGATATCATATTCAAATATACTGATTCCAAATTATCCCACACAGTTTTGTCCTTGAAAAAAAGAATTTGAAATTATTAAAAAAACAAACAAACAAACAAACAAACAAACGTTGGAATAGATGGAGCGGTCCCACCGAATGAGAAATACACAGATGTAAGGTTGAGTGCTAAAACAATACGTGATAACTGATCATAAATACATACTCAAAATAAGACATTACACGTTAACATCCAAAACACCTAAATCGAAAATCGACTTGTTCTACACAAAACAATTCATCTGAACCAAATGACACACAATGATGCAACTAAAGGTCCGTTCACACCAAGAACGAGAAGTATAATGAAAACTATATTAAGGTCCACACCAGCCAATGCTAATTTCTGTTCATTACAAGCATGCACTGCATTTATGTTGTCTGTCACTTTAAATGCTCATGCTCGTCAAAGTCGAGTGCTTTCTGATTGGCTGTCGATGTTTTTATCGTTCGTCAGCTGCAAAAAAAATAATTCTGAAAGTGATTCCAACAATATTGTTCCTCAGTGTCGTTATCATTACAGTTGTGGACTCTACTATTCTCATAAAATTACAATGATTTTTACAACTTTATATTTATTGTAACTGTTATTGTCCTTAGTGTGAACAGGCCTTAAATCAGAAATCGAACTCAGTTTGGTCAGCATAGGTGATGAAATAGTCTTTGGTTGCGGCAAGGCTATTTATTTACGAGCCCCATCATCTGGATTATTTACTAGCTGTCGATCGCTTTCTTCCCCAAAACACGTGGTGAGAAAGTCTGGTTTACCACTTGATTTGTGATTTAATGGCGGGAACTAATGAGACCGAAGGAGACTTCACAGGTTGTGAGTAGTGGTCGACCAATCTGGGTTTTTTACAGCCGATGCCGATATCTTGGAAAGCAGGGTATAAAGATATAACGATATAAAGCCGATATAATTGTATTTGTTTTAATGAATATTTAAGACCCACTGTACATTGCTACTTCCGCTATACGAGGTCAAAGTAAGACCACTGTGGTTGCTACGGTTTACCATAAACGTAACGTCCCAAAACGAACAGATCAATAAATACATGTATAAATAAACAACATGCGAGTGAAAATGACAAAACTGGAGGAAATAAAGACACAAAAGAAAAGGGAAACAAACGGACAACGTTTCTGTTTTAGTACGTTTTCACCTCAGATGAGCTAAATGGGTTCGTCTTTCACCCTTCTTTACCATGGATACAGCCATTAGTTAAACCTGAGTGTGGGATAAAAACTGTGAACATGGGCAACCCAGAGGAAAGCAAACGTCATTTTGTGCATCGATTTGCACACACACACACTCACTCCCTTGAATTGAATAGGAAAATACTCACACATAATAGAAACACTTGGTGTCTTGCTGGCACACATTCGTTCATACATACACACAGGAAATGGGTAGTGCTGCTGCTATGAACCTTACACCCTCAAGGTTTAGAGGTGTGTGTCAGGTAGATAGATTTCCAGGGAGGTAGTTACAGCCAGATAATGAAACTAATTATTCATATGCTGCATGTCTCTTTCCAGCGTTATGGGCCGTGGGGAGTTCAGGGTTTTCAATCCCACCCATTGTCCTTGATCATGTGGGCCAGCTCGATGATGAATTTGCCCTCCTTGTATTTCTGACTGCTTTCGAAGGCATGCTCCTGAGGGAAAGAAGAAGAGGGAGGGAGAGAGAAAGAGAACGAGCTTGTGGTCACCTCAAAGTCAAGATCCGCTGATCCAAAAATAATGGACAGCTGTTGGGAGGCTTTTCTGGATATGTCAATCAAATATAAGACCTTTAAATAGCAGTATTAGAGGAGATGTTTCACTATATATGCCTGTAAAACAAGTGCCAGCTTCTAAATCTATTCTGATATGCCGATTCTTTAAATATAAGCGTCAATGATGTCAATTAGCTCATTAATAAGTACAGCAACAATGTCTTGAACACACCTCTTATAATGAATTAACATTCACTTTCATATATTTGTGGTGGGAAAAAATCAAGACTCATTAAAAGGCTGAAAAGTCATAATGAAAAGTCATAATGCATTATTATTATTGTCATTTTAAAAAGTCAAACAGTTTTATTTCAAAATATTATTAATATCTGATAAACCTTTCAAATGTCAGGGTAGTTTAACCAAAATGCAGGAAGTCGTTGTTGTTGTGACACAAAAAATATAATAGAAAATTATATCTTAGAGTGTACCCTGTAGTCCTTCATGATTTGTGTCATATTTCTTAAAAATGTTTTTTATTATACTGAAAGATTAATTAAGGTTGTCATATATCAAAATTTAATGATTCATGCATGATTCAGAAACTCAGTACTTTCACAACGTTTTACTAAAAATGTTTTAAAACATTTTTAAAAATAAATAAACTGTATACATGAAAACACTAATCTGTATTTAAAGTGTTAGGAAAATATAAAAATTATTATTTATATAATATAATATTATTTTATTTTAATATTGTATTTTATAATAAACATTACTGTTCAAATGTTTGTGGTCAGAAAGATTTTTTAATGTTTTTAAAACAAGTCTCTTACGTCTTTATTTGAGCACAAATACTGAATATTATTACACAAACTGTTTTATATTTTAATATATTTTAAAATGCAATTTATAACTGCATTCTTTTATAACATTTCTTATTGATATCAGTGTTGAAAACAGTGTTGCTTAATATTTTTGTGGAAACGTGCTTTTTTCAGGATTCTTTGATAAACAGAAAGTTGAAAAGCATTTATTTGAAACCGCATTATAAATGGTATTTTTTGTCATTTTTTGATCAATTTAATGCAGCCTTACCGAATAAAAGTATTCACATCTTTAAAAAAAAATCTTACTGAGCCCACATTTTCAAACAATAATGTAAATACTGCATTTTACCTGATGGTTTCTCCATCTGACTTTAAGAAGAGCGATCACTTAAGTTTTTCAAAAGTGACAAGATTTCAACATTTTCTGAAGTGCTTTTCACTTCTAACCAGTCTGTGACAACAAGACAATTCATACTGTTTGTTCTTGGAAAGTAGGGCTGCACGATAAATCGCATGCGATATTTAACGCGCATCTTATCAGTAAAGCCGGTTCTGTAATCAGCGGTAAATCTCCATCACCTGCGTGCTTTCACATTGAGCAGCATTAACTACACAGAGCCGTTGTTCACGGACGAGATGCGCAAAACCACGTTCATATTCGCGCAATTTTTTGCGCAACTCGTCTGTGAACAACAGTTCTGTGTAGTTAATGCTGCTCAATGTGAAAGCCCGCAGGTGATGGAGAGATTAGTGACGTGGGAAGCAGGTCACGAGTGTGTGGAAAAGCCACTTAAAGTATCTCTCTTGATGAGCTGTGTCTGAGTCTCTAGCATGAGTCTTATCCCTCACGTGAGATATGGATGAGTTATCTTGACAAGTGTTGGGGGTAACGCATTACAAGTAACGCGAGTCACGTAATCAGATTACTTGTTTCAAGTAACTAGTAAAGTAACGCATTACTTTCCATAAAAAGTAACTAAGTAACGTAATTAGTTACTTTTTTATGGAGTAACGCAATATTGTAATGCATTACTTTTAAAAGTAACTTTCCCCTACACTGATCTTGACTGGCTGAAGAAAGCTGTCAAAATGTAAGTGTGCATGTCCGGTATGAATGATCATGGTTGTTTTTTGAGGTAAGTGGTCTTTAAGTGAGTGTGTGTGTGTGATCCAGAACTTACGTATTTCCAGCCCAGAGTGGTTTTACAGTTCTCACAGTAGATATCGGCCACCGCGTGAAGACCGGTCAGCAGTACCCTCTCCTCTGCCGGGCCGCAGCCCACATTCACCCTGATTGATAAAAAGATGATGGCAAAATTTAAAAAAGAAAACCATTCTGAATGTCTTTTTTGTGTTGCATGGCTAAGATAAACCAGAGGACTTACACCGAGTTGAAGAGGTAAGCCCTGCCTTGACTCCCTTGAAAAGACTGCAAAGGAAATAAAACAGGAAAGATTACATTTCAAAATTGCTCAAAAAACCCACATCCTAATAAACACTGAAATGGCCGACATTTTACATATTTACATCAGAGTAAGTCAACATCATTTACTTGTATTTTGACTGCACAATCAGGTAATCTTTAGGAAAAATCTATTTCCCTTCACTGCTCCATTCATGACCTTGGCAGATAGGATTTCCCAGGCATGATGTGAAACAGGGGCAGGGTCATAATTACGGGTGTTTGAAAGCGGTTTGGCCATGGCCATATGGGCATGGATCAAAAGATCATTAGGGTGGTTTCATTTTGGCTGTGTTATACTGGATAGTGATGAAGGCGTATCTTAAGCCTAAATAACCTACGAGACCTGATTGAAACCATGACAACAATGGGTAAACATTTGAAACACGATACATTAAACATATGAACATAATTATAAACTCTTACAGAGTATGTTAATTCATTTTCTGTGAATCAGTTCAAAGTGCCTGTTTCAATCAATCAGTTCAAAATGTATTAAATGATTCTTTCAGATTCAGAGATTTAACAGATTCACAATGATTCATTCAATGATTTAAAAGAAAATTATTAAATAGAATTCTTCCTTGCCTCAATTATTTTACATTGATTTTTACATGAAACATTTAATCTATTAGTTTTAAATAATTTTTGTATTTAAGAGCTGCCAAAGTAACATGAATTAAAACTATTTAAATACATTTAAATGTTATCTAAAAAAAAGTTTTAACATTTTTAAAAACAAATAAGAAGTATACATGAAAACTCTCAAATATATTTAAAGTGTAAGGAAAATATTATATAAACATTATTATCAATTTATATTATTATATCATACACACTACCTTTCAAATGTTTGGAGTTGGTAACATCTGAATGTTTTTGAAATAAATTTCAATGATCACAAAGGCTGCATTTATTTTATAAAAAATATAGTAAAAAGAGTAGTATTGTGAAATATTATTATAAAATCTAAAAATGTTATATATTTTAAAATGTTTTTTTTTCTTCGGATTTACAATGATTCATTCAATGATTTAACTGATAATTATTAAATATAATTCTTCCTTGCCTCAATTATTTTAAACAGATATTTTGCAACTTTTGGCTTGCATGAAACACTGAATCTATTTGACTATGATAATGATGGTTCCTTACATATTTTTAGTGTTTTCACTTTTATTTTTGAGTACATTATTTTTGTATTTAAGAGCTGCCAAAGTAACACATTAATTAATAACATTTAAACATGCATTTAAATATATTGAATATGTGGTATTTCCATGTTTAATGGAGGCAGGTTATAGAGATTTTAAATAATAAAGCTACCAAATTCTGGATCAAGTTTTCTTTAACGAGTTTTACTACCTGATGATTAAATCAAAATCACAAGCCTCCTATTGTGCAGAACTCTACTTTTCAGTGACTCCAATTATTATGTTCCATTCTGACCTTTATTTGGTTCAGAGGGATTCAAACTAATTGAAATCTAATTATCATATCAACCTCAACTCCACCTCAGAACCGCCTGCGGTGCTATCTCTCCACCTGAAACTCAAGTAAGCCTTGTCAGGCCGGATACCGCTGGCTTTATTTTGCAAACACAGTATGTGAACAACTAATGAATGAAGCAAAAACAATCTTTTCTAATCTGCACAATCTGTAAACACACACAGTGCATTGAAAACCCCGTCTGAGACAATCATGATATCAGACAACCAAAACCCGACTTTACAGACGACTTTAGTGTATAGCATTATGGATATACGTGGGTGTCCTGGATCATTCGCATTTACTACAGAGACGTGATTACTCTTACTTCTGTGGCACACAAAAGCTCAAATGATGACCTGCTTCTCTTGATCCTTGATTGTGTGGCATGAACGTCAGGAAGCGGAGTGCCTTACTGTCCCACATTCTGCCCGCACACACAATCCATGCACAGATAACTCACATGCACAAAGTTCACATTATGAATTAAAGATGTTATTAATAATCCTTGACACATATTTTTCCACGCACACACTTAATGGCACACACCTCATAAAAAGGCCACATATGGTGTTTTAAAAGTGTGCCACTGGAGCAGTCGGTGCACATGTTGTACAATTAAAGTGGATTTATATGGTTTCACTAATGAAGTCATAAACTCAGTTTTAGGCAAGTAATTTCACTCAGGGGCCATTTTTGAAACGCCTCTCTGGCATGCAAGTGCAGCTCCTATCTCTTTGAATGGGGAAACATCAAATTCTCCAAAACTGTCCGCCAAGCTTAAGATTAAATTTCATATTTGAAATGTTGAAATCACCAATGAAATCTGACAACAACTGTCTCATAAATGTTGTTTCATTTGCTCAAATAGCATTAAAAAAGATGGCTAGACCAGCCAGTGCGCATGTGCAGTCCTAAGCACACGTCTCAGAATGCTGACTGTTTCTATAGCAACCGGGACTTCTAAGGCAGCTGCAGTAACGCAATGACTTTACCCAATGACTTTACCGATTAGCGATTGGCTCTTTTATTCAGAAGGCGGGGCTTCCTTCAATAAAGCGGCCATATTGAGTGTAGCATTTTCGCTCCATTCAAAAATATACAAGTGACACGTCTTGGGCATTCTTTAGTCTTTGGTTTTTATGTATGTATGTCTTTTTTGAAAGAACAGAATCAAAAGTTCTCACAAAACCAACAGAACAATTCACAACTGCACAGAAAAACAAACAAACAAAAACTATAATTTGAGGCAAGATTTTAAAATATTTTTGAAAAATGTTGTTTATGCTCACCAAGGCTTTATTTACTTGATTAAAAATACAGTAAAACAGCAACATTCTAAAATATAACAATTAAAAAAAAAAATTATATTTGAATATATTTCAATATGTAATTTATTAAAGATGCACCAATTGCAATTTTCTTGGCCGAATTCCGATTCTTTTGTAACCTGCCGTCTGCCGATACCGATGCTCTTTCTAAGAACTATAACTGACAGCATATACAAACAAAAATCTATGTTTTTCATTGCAAAAAAATTTTAAAAATTACATAAAGAAATTATTCAACATTACAATTCCCCCAATCTGTGTTATATAGTTATAGATATAGTTATAGATGTTCTCTCACTTAAACAACTCTCAAAATAAAGTGCTCCGTGACTGGAAAGAGGCAGAAATAACAATTAACTGGGTTGCTGTACGTAACAAAACAGATGTCATTTCCCACTATGTTTATAGATGGTCATTTTATTCCCTAACCTTATTAAATGTGTCATCTTTCACATCAAATTCTTACATTGTATCAATTAATTCAGTTAGAATAATAAGAAACTGTAGAGTTGTTACCATTCAAATGAAATCAGTATCAACAAACTTCATCTTTCCACTGCAGAGGAAACAGAAGCTGCATCTGAAGTGGCATTAGATGCATTTACACAGACTGTTTGATAAAGTGGAGGTGCAATAAATGCCTTTATGTAATAAGTTCTGCAATAAAAATAATTGTTGTGATTTCAATGTTAGATAGCCTCACATGGGCCACCACTACATGTAGTGGTTTTAGATCCAAGTAGCACCACCAGTGTAATGGCTTTGAGCTTAAATATTAAGTTTTGTCACACTATTTTACGGGGGACCAGCCAAGTAATTTCCCCTTGACAATAAAGAACAATCATCGAAGATTGTTGAATAAATGAGGATTACATAAATCGTAGAAAGTTGTAGTCTGACCAATCTAAAGGATTTGAGAGATATCGTTAACTTGTAGAGCCTCTTACTGTATTATCAACACAAGGAAGACACAAGTGTTATAAAAGGGGTTTTATTAACAAAAGGATAGACAAGAGCAACTAACAACTAATAAATGGGTACACTGAATGGATAAAGTGCAAAAGATTGATAGATGCAAGTGACTGAGTTGGATGTTACTATGGACGTCATCTTATGGAAAGATAAACGGAAGTTTCCTGGACGTAATAAGGTAAACCTTATTCTAGTTTCAACAAATAAATCAAGAGATTATTTGTTGTTATCTGACATCAGTTATATAGAATCTAATGCAAATTGCTGTTGGAGAAGATCCTAGCAGTTTGGAACACTCAAATGGAGGACCGCTGAAGAGAAGGTGCTGAAGTTGTTGCTGAAGATGGGGGGCACTAAGCTTGTGGTCGTTGCTGCTGTTGCTGTTTCCAAACTCCCCAAATTCGCTTCTTGCAGATCTTCCTTGTTTCTGCTTGGAGCAACTTAGCTTAGCAGTTTAGCACTTACAGTAGAGCAATGACACTTAGCACACTTCTTTTTCTTGAAGAGAACCATTTAACCTTTCCTGAGAAGGAGGGATTTGCAAGTTGGCACCTTTCAGATCCAGCGCTTTGATTGGCCGATGCTGTCATGGCCTCTCTCTGGCATGAAGTCTATTTGCATAGCTTAAAGTCCACATTTAGAACAGTGTCTTTAAGGTTTTTCCTATGCATAATTACAGATTACCTACACAATGTGCTGAAAATATGAAGACCAAACATCAATGGATTATGCTGAACACTTACCCAAGCATTCATATATACAGTATTTACCTTAATAGGTAAGGTTGCATACATTGTTGTGTCACAAACAGCACTCATTAAGTATATACAGTTCTGTAAATGGATATGAAGAAGGTTTAATCGATAATGTGTCATTTTTGTGTGAATGCATGTGAAGATGTGTCCAGGGCCGTCCTTAGGGGTGTGCAACTGGTGCGGTAGCACCGAACAGAATTTTCCCCCTCGGTGAATGAACCAATAGCATTTATGATTAATTTGTGTTATAGCTTCATTACTTTTGTGGTGTAGTGGGATAAACCACTGAACTGGTAAGCAGAAGGTTGCTGGTTCGATCTCTGCAGCCACCACCACCAGGGTGTCCTTGAGCAAGGCTCTTTACTCCAGGTTGCTCCAGGGGAATTGGGGGTCCCTGTAATAAGAGCACTGTAAGTCGCTTTGGATAAAAGTATCTGCCAAATGCAGAAATATGAATGTAAATGTGATTTTTGTAAAAACCTTTTTTTGTAAGTGTCTTGGGCACAAACGCTCAATAAAGCTGCTTATATGTAATTTCTTAAAGTTTATTTCTTCAAGGTACTACTATAATATAAATGCATAAATATATTTCATACAATTTCTATTTGGGGGGGCTTAAAGGGTTAGTTCACTCAAACATATAAATTTAGTCATCATTTACTCGCCTCCACGCTGTTCAATACCTGTTTCTTTTTTGTCAACACAAAAGGTGATTTTGGTCAAGTTTGTCCTGGAGGTTGCTGGTTTCTGTTTATACAATATCAGTCTATGGAGCCTGACTTTCAGAAGCTTCATGACATTTTTTGATGATGCTTTTGAAGCTTCTGAAACTCGGGCTCTATTGACTGATGTTGTATGAACAGAAACCAGCATAACAAACCTGCCCAAAATCACATCCTCAATGTCTTTTGGTCTTTCTCTAGATTCTCTCGCTGGCTCTGGGCTCACTGAGGATGAAGAGGCCACAGCAACATCTGGTCCAGATGAGGTAACAAGGGCAGGTGGAGTGATGGAGGGTCTCATCCATGGCACTAGACCATTTCCAGGATGCTGCTGTGGACTCCCCATCCTCAGTGCACACACCAATCTGCGGACATTTCAGATCCTACAAAAAATGCACAAACATAATACAAAAGCAGTCATTTTAACAGCACAATGTCATTTTATCTCTGTATTAAAAGTAACAAAATTATCTTACTTTACATTTTTGTTTCAGGTTTTCCCCTTTTTTTCCATAAATGCTGCCGTCATCTTTCCTTGCAGGCCCTGCTCCACCACAAAAGCTTTGCAGCAACAGCACAGAAATCAAGAATCAGAAGTGCTGTAATAACTCTGTTTGAAATTACAATAATTGATTATTACAATTAAGATTTAAAAAGATGTTTTATTCATTTCTGTAGTATAGTCACTCAAAGCCTTTGATGGCAGCATTCCTTCATCAGTCACTCTGCACTGGATAAACACACGTGTCTCATCTGTAACATCCAGACAAGACTCAAGTCACCTCTGTGATTTATGTGCTCAATACTACATTTAAATGTTGAGGTAGTTGCTGATGTGTTAACTCTTTTTATCCAACACAAATGCTCCTCAATTTATCAACTGTACTAATGGACAAATGAAATAGAAAACTCATGTTTAGTTACTTTATGGTTATTTACATTACTTACATTCAGCTAAAGCAGTGTTGACAACAGTGAATTCTACTACATAATAGCACACATACATCACTCACTCACATGTCTATTTCATGTCTATCAGATGTGCTCATCTGCAATTCTTATCAAACATTTTCCTGTCAGATGTTAAATAGACATTAAGTAAGCGTCGTTAAGATGTATATGGTTTATGTAAATGCACTTTGGAGACGTATGTGTGCTTACTGGATCTTCCCTGTTCGCTATACGTAATAAAACGTGTTTTTACAGCAAAATCACAAAGATACTATACTATTTAGCATCTTTACATCTTCGACAATTCAACAGTTTACTCTACAGTAGCTCAATAAATGCGATTTTAACACAAGGAACCTTGTTTTTGGTTTCTAATACTCACATTTGAAAACACCCGTGTCGCTGTTCTCCATCCTGTTCAATTTTGACGTATCCTCTCCTGTGGCCTCCTGGGATAGAAAAGTGTCCATCGGACGAGCACTTCAGAATTTGGACTGAAGCAGTAGGACATCCAGGGATTTCTTGCCTACTCTTTTATGAATACTACGGTTTTGGACATGCTACTCTTTTCTTCTAATATATAGTAGGTAAGTAGGCATATTCGAAAGCAACTTAAGTATACGCATGTCCGAATCTCGTGAGAATTAGTACACCATGCAGGTAATTCTCGCCTACTCTTCTATGAATACTAAGGATTCGGACATACTTATTTGCTTTTTGCCTACTATATAGTAGGGATGTATGCGGTTTCAAACACAGCGCACGTCTTTATGACTGGGTTTCTGAATCATTGACTCACTCGATCCGTTCAAAAACGTGGATTCACTCATTAACAAAACACTACTGTGTTGTTGGGAGAAACAACAGTTCTGCTGTGGCTTTGAGTAGAACTATTTTTGTTTGCGAAATTGAGCAGAAGCAGTCAATATGGTGTCTAAAATGTAAGTCACTTAATTTTAACTTCTTGTTTATTGAACTACTATTGTATAAAATCAGTGTAACATTGCGATCATGTTGATATTCGGGGGAAACATCTTAGTCGTGTAATGTTGCTTACTTATATATTATAAATATCTTTTTTTTTTTCAACCGCAGTATGCATCTATAACTTTCTGTGAGTTACTTTGTGTGTGCTTTTGCACTCATTTGTTTTGATTTCTGCACAAGTCTCTCTCTCACTTGTGAGCCTCATCTGGCACAACATAAACATATTATCAATAGCCGTTTACAATGAATGCGATAAAATCAGAATCATTCTCGTGCAAAAAATTTCAAAAGTGTCAGTGCTTCCCTAGTTATGTTTGTTATTGACGTTTTAATCAGGCTTCTTGTCTGGTCGGGCAAGTAATATTCTCTCTCACTGGCCTTTAAAAAAACTACTTGTCCCAGACAAGCGTTAATTGAGCCCTGTGGCTCCCCACTGTTTACTTTGGCCCTACACGTATTACAAATTGCGAACTTTGTGTCTTCTTCATGCCGACAACATAAACATTTCGCATGTGGGTGTAAAACAAAACGGACCAGCTCTGAATCGGCAGACTGACCTTACTTGAAATAGAAATCTTTTTAAACATTAAAAATGTCAGTTTTACTGTCACTTTTGATCAATTTAATGAGTCCTTGCTGAATACGGTAGGCTATACATAATACATACATATAATGCAATATATATAAATATATGAAAAATGATTAAACACTTTTTAAGCTCATATTACAAATACACAGATACATTTTGACAGTTACAACAACTCATCTGAAAATCCCAGTGTTCACATAATGTTTCATGACCCTTTAACAGGAAGTCCATTAGGATAGATTGTACAGAAATGTTTTTACAGAACATACCGATTGTTCAGCTGACAAAACATCTTACCGAAGACTTTCAATTGACAAAAATCCATAAAACAGTTTTGAAAATTACTAGGACCTTTATACAGCGCATACCATTGTAAAGACTGTAAGTCTATCTCTCACGGCCTCGTTTTCATCTGCGTAAAATACAATACGGTGTCTAACCTGATTAAGGTCTATGATTAAGATAAAAGAGCCTAAAAGAGACACTGCTGCTTACCTTTGAGATGAGCTCATCATGGTTGGCCAGGTGTGCTCGGCAGTGAATGCAGCTGTAGGTGCGATGGCAGTTGGGCAGGTAGGCCTGAAAGGTTTTGGAGCGCGTCATGGCGACCGTGGCGGGAGAGACGGCGCGGGGGCGCAACAGGAAGGGCCACTCAGCCCAGGACGACTCACAGGAGAAACAGTGGAGCACGCAGGTGAGGGCCGTGGTGAAGCTTCAGAAGAAGAGATGAGAGCACACCTGTGGGGAACACACACACTTATTTAGGAAAATAACTAAAAAATAACTGTAAAAAACACTGGTCAAAAGGTATGGGGTAAGTAAGATTTAAAAAAATAATTATAAAAATAATACTTTTATTCAGCAAGGAAGCATTAAATTGATCAAAAGTGACAGTAAAGACATTCATAATGTTACAAAAGATTTCTATTTCAAATAAATGCTGCTATTATGAATTTTCTATTCATCATAAAATCCTGAAAAGATGACTTCCACAAAAATATTAAGCAGCAAAAACTGTTTTCAACAATGACAATACTATTATTAATAATTGAGTACCAATGATAATTGATAATAATTGAGCACCAAATCAGCATATTAAAATTATTTCTGAAATTTCCAGCAAGTAATGGCAGCTGAAAATCCATCTGTCATCACAGGAATAAATTACATTAAAAAAAATAAAAATAAAAAAATATATATATATATATATTTTCTGTTCTAACAGTTCTTCTCAATTGAAATAATATTTCACAACATGAATGTTTTTACCATACTTCATATCAAATAAATGCTATTAGTTCAAAAGCATAAAAAAAGCTTTTGACCAGTAGTGTAGGTAATTTAGAAATCATCATATGTATGACACCACTGCCATAAGAATATTAACATATAAACGCATGCATGTACATATCAAAACACAAACTATTGAATTTACGCATTATAGTCTTTAAAATGCAGTTGCAAAAACAGCCAATTTAACTAAGTATCAAAGAGAAAATATTCATGAAAAAAAAAGAACATGAATGTTTTTACCATACTTCATATCAAATAAACGCTATTAGTTCAAAAGCATAAAAAAAGCTTTTGACCAGTAGTGTAGGTCATTTAGAAATCATCATATGTATGACACCACTGCCATAAGAATATTAACATATAAGCGCATGCATGTACATATCAAAACACAAACTATTGAATTTACACATTATAGTCTTTAAAATGCAGTTGCAAAAACAGCCAATTTAACTAAGTATCAAAGAGAAAATATTCATGAAAAAAAAAGTTACAAAAGCATACAGGCCCCTTTAAGACAAGCTTGACATGTTGTAGCTATGTAAATGAATGTATGAAGATATAAAGGATGAACAAATATTAAAGAATCCTACAGTCTATTCATACATTTTTGGTGTCATAAATGACACAGATTGATGTGAAATGATGTTGAAAACTGAGTTGAAAACAGTGTACGTCAGCGATACACAGACAGTGAACGCAGCAGACGTCATCCACAAGAACACGGTGCAAATGCAGGCAAATAGGCATGAATCAGAGCGTCTGTGAGCTGTTGTCTGTCAGCTAACTGTGACTGTGTGGTCCCACGTTCATCCTGCCCTCGGGTTAGAAGGGGGCTGCGCACTGTATGAGAGGCGGCTTTTTAATGCAGAGAACTGGAGACCTGCCAATGATGTGGGCTCAAACACAGACAGCCAGACAACCAAACGCGTATGATTTCAATGCTCGTCTGTTTGATGGACTCATCCCTAATAAAATGTGGTTAGATTAAAAAAACAAATCCATATAGACAAAATGTTGAGCAGTTCATGCATTATATTTCAAGGCATAATTTCATTTTTGTGAAAACGAGACCAAAATTTAGATTGTCATACTTTTATTCAAATTTTCCCTACATTGCTGTGCTACAATCTTATAGTTTAAGTCAAATGAACTACTTTTATGGTGCTTTGTTGTGCTTTATTTGAGATTAACAGCCTCTGGTCACCCTATTTGCTTTCACTTTATGGAAAAGACAGCGTGAACATTATTCTAAAAATCTCCTTTTCAGTCATACAGGTTTGGAATGACATGAGGACAAGTTAATGATGACCCAATTGCCATTTTTGGATGAACTAACCCTTCAGGTCACACTAATTTGTTGTGATTTTCTGAATTCAATTAATACGTTTGCACTCTGACTTATTGGGTGCCCTCTTTTACGTCATCGTGGCATGTTGGCAGCTTTTCGCCTGTTGAGGCAGCAGCTTTGGACGAGATTTAAGACAGAACTAATTACTAAAAGAATCCTCAGGCATCTCATTTAATTACCTAGAAGCGCGGACAGCTATTCGTGAGATCGAAAAAGGGCCTTGTGAGTGACATCATCAGATATTTGAATTCCAACCACATCTCTGCAAACCGACATAATTAATCACATAAACAAAAGCATTCGTTGGCCGTTGTGACTCAGCAAAGTCAGCAAAAAACCCTGCTGAGCTCATAAAGCACATATTTAGAAAAGAACAAATGTTTAAATGTTTTTTTCCCATTGTATAATACCATTTGTATTCTACAATGGGAAAAAAAACATTTACATTCTTTAAAAAAAAGGTTTCATTTGTTAATATTACATTTGCTAACATAACCTAACAATAAACAGTACTTCTACAGCATTTATTAATCTTAGTTAGTTGATGTTAACTAATGGATAAACAAAAACCTTACTGTAAAGTGTTACCATACAAATAAAGCCACGTGGATAGCATGACTCAAAGAATAAATTCTTTTTCAGATATCACATGAACTCAGTGACTCAGCAAATTGAATTAGACAACTCATAAAAGGCTGCAAGTAAGGTTTCCTGGGAAGCTATTTGCGATTCTGTGATTACATTTGCTTTGGCACAGATGCGATCAAACAGGCCTTACAAAAATACAGCCGGAGAGTATTCTAGTCACCAGCGTGAGGCTTGAAATTGGACTCTCCTTGGCATAATTAAGCACCATTGTGTTCGCTCTGCCATTAGAAATGCTGTATAATTTGGCCAAATGATACAGCAGCATTATTTTCAACATCATTTCCTCATGCAACTTCAAACACAATTATACAGGATCGACAAAGGATAGATACGTCGCTGGTATAAGGCTAATTGGAGGTAAAACAATTATGGGGGACATTTATGGAAAATGCAGAGGTTGGAATTCATTCGGATCTCGACAGATGAGATGAAGATAAACGGCTGTCGCCAGTATAATTACTGAGGCCATAATCACAGAAAGGGTGCCCAATTTGTCTCTGTCTGCTTTGTGTGTTTACCATTTCAAATTAGTCTGGAGCAGACCAAACACACATATAATGAAGAGATCTCATTCATCAAATGTCTGATCTTGGCTGATCTTCCTTCTTCTGACCACACAGTTGACGACTTGACAAACAAATCTAATACAGACTGCTGTAACAAAACCAAGACTGCAATTATGGCCGAATATCAGGAGAAACGCATTTCCCTTAAAGGAATAGTTCACCCTCAGGTCATCCAAGATGTAAATAAGTTTGTTTCGTCATCGGAACAGATTTAGAAAAATGTACATTACATACTTGCTCACTAATGGATCCTCTGCAGTGAATGGGTGCTTCCAGTGGAGTCCTCTATTTTGAAATAACGGTATCAAGTTAAATGATGGATTTGTTTCTTACAAACACACAGCTTTTCACTGCACAAGATGTTAATTGATAGACTGGAGTTGTGTGGATTACTTGTGGATTATTGTGAGCAGGGCCGTCCTTAGCTGACACAGGGCCCGGTGCGAGGTAGGGAGCGGGGCCCGCATCGGTCTGTTCGCGTCCTGGGGGGAGGTTGGGTGATTCCCCCTTGGTCCGTTCGCCGCGGGGCCCCCTCAAGCACCCCTCCTAAGGATGGCTCTGATTGTGATGTTTTGATCAGCACTTTGAACTCTCATTCTGACGGCACCCATTCACTGCAGAGGACCCATTGGCCAGCAAGTGATGTAATGCTAAATTTCTTAAAATCTGTTCCAATGAAAAATCAAACTAATCTAAATCTTAGATGGTCTGAGGGGGAGTACATTTTCATTAATTTTTCATTTTTGGGTGAACTATTCCTTTAATGTCTATGGTGGTTAGACCCTGAATAATTCTAAAGATAGGTAATCCTTGAGACAATGGAGTTTTTTTGTTTCCTTTCTTGTTTATGTATGCATATATCAAGAAAAATAGCTAAGGTTTCCCTAATAAACTCAGGAACACACATGGGCTGCATTCAAGAGCATTATATTGTAAATCAATATCATCTCCGTCCCAAAGTATTACACGAACACAAATCAGATAAACCTGTTTTTAGTAAAATGCCTGTAACAAAAACACATGGTGCAGCAGGTACATCAGCACAATATCTGCTTTTAATAAATGGCTTTATTTGCTTTGCTTGTTTAAACTAGAGCCTAATAAAAGGTCTTGAGCATTTTAAGCAGTAAGAGGGCATCTAAACAGACAAGGACACCCGGACAGGTGGCGAACCCCCCCTCATTCCCCCCAGTCCCTCAGATAACACACAGCAGGCAGCTCCCATAATAGCAACTTTTTTTGCTGTCCTTTGAAATCTGTCAGCACAAATTAAAAAGCCCCTGCTGCGTACACACATAAGCTGTGATATTTAGCTCTATTTAGCTAAATTGTCGATTATACATCTGATGGATTAACACTTTATTTTACAGTGTCCCTGTTAACATAATTGCAATAATACACAAATACAAGGGGCTCTTTAAAAGGATCCATATTGATTAGTAAATGCACACTAAAAATAACATTTTAATATTTTTAATTATAATTGCATAATTTTAATATGCAAACTGCATTTAAGAGCCAAGTCCAGAGAAAATACAATCCTGAAAAAAACAAAAATGAACGGAAAAAAAAACACTACATTAAAAAAAAAATTATAATTTTTTTTTATCTCAAATTACCTCTAAATTAATATACCGGCTTTGAAAAGGCACACTTTGTGCATTCATCCTTAAGAATAACCTCTCAAGCTCAGTCCATATTCTAACAGCATAAAGCAATAGAAATACCCATGAATGTGCAAAGCTACTTAAGGCAACAGTGTTGGAAACAGAGTGGGTCAGATGGAGAGACAGTGCGATGGATCCAGGTCAGACAAGTATGTGTGGGTATCAGTGAACCAGCTTCTATGTAGGCCATAGTAGATACCACCAAACTGAGAGTGCAGATGGCAGCACCAGCTCAGCACCTCTGGCAATCACATCCTTGAAAACACCAACAGCTAAACCAATTCAGAAAAGCCAGCTTTAAAATGACAACAAGCCTGTGTCACTCGCTTGCCTCGTGATAACAAAACAGTACACAATATAAATACTGCAAAATATTAAATAGCCACACTTTCATTTAAGTGATCTAGCCCTCTGAGAACACTTGCTTATGCATAGCATGTTTCATAAAAATAAGCAGCAGTGTAAGTGTATTTATGCAAGTACAGATTAACATATGTGCATGTTATGTTATTCTGTACTTGCATAAATACACTTACATTGTTGCTTATTTTTATGAAACATGCTATGCATAAGCAAGGGTTCTCAGAGATAAGCAACGATCTTGTGGAGCTGCTTACAATGTTAATGTTAATTAAATAGTTTATTATGCAATATGAGTAGCATGAAAGCTTTCTCACTATTTTGTAAGTCAATTTTCATGCTTTTTCATGCAAAACAGCATATATTTGAAAATTAAACGATTTCTTTCATTTGCAAAATATAAATGCACTTTTTATTTATTTTTAATTATAGTTAAATTAATAAAAAACATCCTGACAACATACAATTTGTGTTCATGGCCAATGACTCGTGCATAGTTTTTTTTTTCTTCTTAATGTACCAATATTTGCTGGTAGTGTGTTAGTGGCATATAATTCTACAATAGTCTAGATTTAAAGCAACACTTTCGGAACAGTTATAATTGTTTACATTTTAACTATGCAATGATGCATTCTGTATATATAACGTTTTAAATCCAGATTAGCATCGATCACTGGCACTGAGATCCAATCTACAACTAAAATATAAATTATCAGAATTTACTAGGTTAATTTTTAGTGTGCTGTCATATAATGCAAGATAATAAATAACAAACGTAATGTTTTAAGACGAACTTCCTATAAAAGGTGACACTAAAAAGCATTATAATTGGACTGATCTTACCTTAGAATGGAAAGGTATCGCGCTGGTCGAGCTGTCTCCCTCTTTAAAACTGCAACTTCATGCAAAATAGCAGGCGATCATTCCTCACAACACAAAGTTTGCAGGTATCTTCAGCCGCCACGCGCCTCGAGAGCAGCGCTCTGTATATACAGCCCAGTTGCGCATCGGGCCTCGCCATACAAGCTCCCAATTTGATTGACAGCCAGGCCAGCAAATAGATGAGACAAAACGGCCTAGCAACAATACGCTGATTGGCCAACCTAAAAAGTGGACGGACCAATGAGCGAGCTAAGATGATTTGCAGGCAAAAAAAAAAACGTTATCTTTGTGATGTGCCAGTTGGATAAGTAATAAAAACTAAAAAGTCTTAAATGACTTTAAACTTAGAAAATATGAAGTACCTATAAGATATTACAGTTGTCACTCTGTATTTTTTCACTTGAGAATGTCAAAGATGTACCAATTTATAATTACTTTAGACAGATCAGATAACCAAATAGCGCCTCTTTGTGTCGTTTTTACGAGCTATTTTATGTAAAACCATAATACAAACCGTAATAGACTGATATATAAAACCTCTACAATAATAGATTGATATTTTTACATTCTTTCTAATGAACAAGTGTTTAAGCATTTTATGAGATTTAATTTTATTTTACTCAGGTAAAATAATTTATAACATCAACCTCAAAAAGTCAACAGCAAACAGAAAATCCAGAGTGGACACTATTTTGGATACACATTTAAAACATTTAAAAATTACATTCAGTTTAAAATATTATAGTTTTATAATGACATTTTTCACTGTCAGTTTTTCTCAATGCAGGTATTTATTTACCATAAACACAACATTCCTTAATTTGATTGCTTGTATTTACAGCCACAATTATTTCTAGAATTTGGATTTAAAAAAAGAACCGGCACAGAAGATGAAAAGAAGCATGGTGACACCAAAATGATGCTTAATGTCCTTGTCCTACAGATATCTCAACAGTGCTTTTAAGTGCAGAGTGTTTTTTGTTACTGTGGAGTTGAACTAGTCGTGTTGGCACGCAGAATGCCTCTCAGCACCCTGAAGTTGGCCAGTGGCTGGTTCTCCTTCGGAGGGTAGCATGGTCCACGATCTGTCACGTAGGCATAAGGGAAGCGTAGCACCCAGAGTCCATCAGGGGGCAGCACCACCTCAGGCTGCTCCGGATGGAAGATAGGACAGGGAGGGGGACCTGGCTGGACCTAGGATAGAAGAGAAGCACAGAACAGTATACTTTAATGGAGAAAATGTGGGTAGCAATCATTGTGAATACTTCAGTTTGAGATTAAAATTGACTGATGTTGCACTTTTTAACATATTATACCTGTGGGTTTAGGACAATCGCAAGAAGAGCATCAGGGACGACGACAAAAAGACGAGCCAGCTGAGCATAGTGTGGCTTGATCCCTCGTCCTTGAGCTGGAGAGGTAATGTATAAAGGCATATCAGAATTCAAGCATCTGGTTGCAGGTTCCTTTGGTCCGCCTTGCCCAAGCACTTTGACTATTTTATCAGGGCCAGAACTAAAGAAGCGGCGCCCTCTGCTGTCCTCATACTCAAAACCAACAAAAGCACGAGCTACATCATCCCGTCTACGCCCTCGTCCGATTCCTCCAGCGCTGCCTCGCTTTCCAGCGGATGCTTTATTCGGTGCTGGCCAGGAGGCTGGTCCTCCGTCCAGAGGCTCAAGCGATCCTACATCTTCCTCTGATCGGCTCCGAATGACAACATCCCAGGGCAAGAGGAAAGCGGAGCCTGGGAGGAATCCAGGTTGCTCTAAACCAGTGAGGCTGTTGTAGGCCTTAGCTGGACCGAGTTTAACAAGAGACCAACTCGAGAACTTGGGCAACAGTCCCTTCGGGCATCCAGAATGAAGCATCCCGGGGAGATACTCCACTGTGGAGGGCTGTCTGTCCACCAAGCTTGGCCTCTTCTCTTGTCCTTCTGCTCCATCACCATATGTTCCAAGGCTGTCAGTTGACTGGCCCAAGCTAAGAGCGAGACTCAAACTTGTGCTATCACCAGGTGTGTGAGTGCTAGTCTCTTTCTCCTTTAGACGATCAGCTTCCCCTGATGGAGGAACCTCTCTAGGTCTGGGCACCTCATCACTGGCAGGAGCAGGGTCGGGTGTGCTGGCTTGGAACACTGGGAAATTGATCCTGTCCAACTTTCCACAGCATTTCTCCTCAAGCATCTGAGAATGAAAGACAGAATGACGAAGAACAGATTTAAAGCTTGTGTAGTGAATATTTATGGTGGAAAAAAACCTTCAAGCTACTGACTTGATAGAAGTCATAGTTGGCAGCCTGGATGTCAAATGGATCTTCTCTTGGAGACTGCTTCCTACCACAGTTACAGGAACTTGTAGAGCGACCCCTGCTATTGTGGTATAGAATAGGCGGGTTGTGGTCCATTTCTGGTTTCTCTCCTGAAATTTGAAGAAAAAACAGAGGTAATTAGAAAGAAGTAAATTTTTCGTCAATATACCATGAAAAAAAATTGCTCTTCACACAGAAAAAAATGGATCTGTATAGATCTTTTAAAACATGGATCTTTACCTGGCTTTGGCAGCAGATGAAACTTGTGCACGCAGTGCTGATCCGTAAGGCTGCGCTCCTCGCAGAGCTGATGGCCGTTACTCCAGAACTTGTAGCAATCCTCGTGGAGCTGTAAGGCGCATCTTTGAAAGGCGACTCCCCTCGCATGCTGGCTGTACACTCGCAGTGCCTGCGCCAGTTGATTCTTGTGCACTGTGGTGGTGTAATTATGGGGAAGGTTTGACTGGTACGCACTGTGAGCCAGTGGCAAGGCTTTCTGACACCTGTTTTCCGAGAACTTCGCATCTGCATCAAGGAACCCTTCCAGCACTTTGAGCTGACCCTGCACCTTGAGGGAAATCTCGGCTGCGTCATCCTCACTGTTCTCTATCATGACCTGATAAAGTCTGTGCGCAACATGCACCCATTTGGAATAAGTAGGCAACTCGAAGTGTGATGGCTGCGGATTGCGACCTACACTGTCATCAAAACCTTTCTTGGTCAATACGAGTTCGACGTGCTGCCAAAGGAACTCTTTTAAAGTGCAGTCCACCAGCTGCCCTCCTGAGGAAAGACTGCTTTCTACATTGAAAGAGGGCTGTCTATTAGAGTACCTCATCTGTTGGTACCGCCTTTGCCTGGGCACAGGCGTGCTGCCTTCACTTTCTCGCAGGACGCAGTTGGACCGCAGGTGCCCCAGAAGAGAGCCGATGGGGTCCTCATCTGGTCCTGGCACTACATATACAAAAGCTTGGTTGGCAGGCACTGTAAAGAGACAATTACTACTCTGGTTGGTCAATACACGACTTTTCCTGAATATCCGATATATCTGATCTTCCAGAGCATGCTGCAGTCGCCTTCTAGGGGAGTGTTTTTTGGGTTTATCCCCTCCAGAGCCATCAGTCCCATTCCCACCCGTGCCAGAGGAGCCCACTCTGAGCGCTCCGTTCATCTGGAACACGAACAGCAGACGTGGAGGGCACGGCCGACAGTTTAACTTCCATTCTTTAGATACTGGCGAATCTTTAATCGCAGCGCGCAGCAGTGGAAGCGCTTTCTGACGTAGCGCGTCCAAAGCGCGGAACATTCTATCGTACGTGACGTCGAACGAACATGTGGGATGAACCAGCAAAAGAACATGGCACAGCGAGAAGAGATACAGCAGCTGCAAACAGTGATCCTTCTCTGCTGCTTTCCAAAACTCGTGCGCTTCTGCATGACCCAAACCCGCCGTCAATGACTCGCACGCGCGAATAAGCTGGCGGTTGTCAAAAACAGATGTTAATACGAGATACAGCACGCGGTTCTCCTGATTATAATACGCATGAATCGATGTTCCCCCACCCGGACTGTCAGTGTCGTCGCTCCCAAAGAGAGAGAAGACGTGTTTATCTGCTAAAGTGTTTATGAGAGAGTCTTTAGCTGATCCCGGTTGCATTGCGCTTTTCCCAAATATGCCCAATACGCAAATACCCTCATCTTTGTCCACGGTGTCTTCGATTATTTCCGACTGTAACAGAGCTCTGATATTCATGGGAACCGCCATTTTTGCTGGACAGAAACAAATGGGCGGGGCTTTGATGACCGCATTTCTGCGAGCGCAAAAGAAGGGTCCGGGTGGATACACTGATCTGCAAGTTAATGTCCGGACAAAATGCATGGAAAATGTAATATGTAAATAGTAATAGTCTTATAAGTCTGCGGGGTTGTTATTGTTCACCAAACCTAAGACTGTTAAAAAAAATCGTTTTCGGTAATTAAAATAAAATAAAATATGAATATTAGATAAAACTTAAAGGGAAATTTGAATTGTTGCCTTAGCAGCAAACTAAAATAAGATTAGGTTGAAATATTAAAATTACTAAAACACAAAGCTAAATAGAAATATAAAAACTAAAAAAAGCACATAAAGTAACTGCATCTAAAATTAGGATGAAAACAAAATATAGGAATAAATGCTCATTCCAAATATTGGTGAATACTATAATAGAATTTAAATAATAGTAAAATAAAATAAAATACAATTATTAGATTAAATATTAAAGGAAAATTAGAAATGCTGCCAGTTTAAGCTGAAGTTACAATGACTAAAAATTAAAAACTAAATAGAGAAATAATAATGGATATATATTAATAAATACTTTAATTGTATATAAATAATGTGTACTAAGCCAAATATTAAATACTAAGCCAGAAATCGAACATTTATTTTGTCTTCATCTAAATGCACTCATTTGTACTGGAAATTAAAAAACACTTACACATTTTCTGTAGATCCAATATTTATTAAAAGTTTGTTATTCATTGCAATTGTTTTTACATACAAATAAAAGTGGTTTTAGCCAAATATTGCAAAAGACCCTTAAAATAAAACATTAAGACACGGTAACATTTAATTGGGTGTTACACCTCAAGCCCACCAGTAAACATACAGTAAAACATGAAAATAAAACATCCTGAGTCTCACAATAACAGGACTATTTATTATCTGTGCTTCACGTTTTACCACACACCTAAGCTATCAATGGATTATTGAATTGACCAATAACTGACTTGTCTCACCCCTGTACAGACTTCAACAAAGTATCAAGTACTATATTTTACAGCTGAGTTAGTTTGCACATTCCACAGTCATATTCAGTAACAGTGACACTGAACTGCATGTTCAGTTATTTAGTTCTACTAATTATACAATTAACCATATTAACCACATGCTGATGTGCATTTAATTTTCATACAGTCTGCATTTGTTATTAGCATGTCTTAAAAAGCAGGTTCTGATATAAAAGGAGCGAGAAGCACACTTCACATGCAACAAGTACAGGTGCATCTCAATAAATTAGAATGTTGTGGAAAAGTTCATTTATTTCAGTAATTCAACTCAAATTGTGAAACTCGTGTATTAAATAAATTCAGTGCACACAGACTGAAGTAGTTTAAGTCTTTGGTTCTTTTAATTGTGATGATTTTGGCTCACATTTAACAAAAACCCACCAATTCACGATCTCAACAAATTAGAATATGGTGACATGCCAATCAGCTAATCAACTCAAAACACCTGCAAAGGTTTCCTGAGCCTTCAAAATGGTCTCTCAGTTTGGTTCACTAGGCTACACAATCATGGGGAAGACTGCTGATCTGACAGTTGTCCAGAAGACAATCATCTAATTTATTGAGATGCACCTGTACATAAAATAACATAGCAGCAAGTAACATGAAATACAGTCCTGTCACTAAAATAGTTACTATAGTAACATGACAGTATGAGAACCAAAGCTATTAGCACAGTCACAGTATACATATAAAAATAAGGCCAAAACAAAACACACACACAAGACTAGCCATGCAAAACACAATGTGCAATATCAAACAGTAATTATCTTTGTTTAGACAGTCTTGAGTGGTGATAGTTCTTTTGTTAAAGCACTCCGTAAAGAATGAAAAATAATTTTCAGGCCATAAATTCATGATTTATTTGTTAAATAAAATGATCTTTCAATAAAATGAAACTAGCAGTCTCAAAGAGAACCTTAAAATAATAAATTCTGTGATTCATTTTGGGATAAAGCTGTTTACATACCAGGTACGTGTTTCCTAACCCTCTCTGGTCATGCTTGAATCTATCACAGCATTCTCTTTGTTAAACAGCGGTGTGCCACCAGGACTCCTAAGAATACAGCAAATGAGAAGTATTTAGCTAGATGTGATGTCTGTAGTTTTAGGCATGTCTTGGCTCTGATTCCAACAATACAAAGTAAAAGTGATCTTGCCTCATTAAGTTGACTTTTCGAAGCTGTACCCGAAGATTCATGGGATTTTTGGTTGGTGTCCTACAGACAGTCCTACAGAGAAGATCACAAATGATGTAGCATGAATGTGAATGTATTGCTTTAAAGTAAAGTGTAAAATAAATACATTTATTTATGCCGAAATTCACCTGCCAAGGCTTGATCTAGACTTTAAGGGGAGGTCAGAATTAGAGCGTCGCAAACTGACTTTCTGCAAGTCTGCGAGTGTGACCAGTGGTGATCTTCTTCTCTTTGGAGACACCTGTGAACAAATATGCCATCATAAATATTGACTCAATGCAGGATTCATTGGAAAAGTTTTGAGGACACAATCTGTCACTCGCCTGAGTTTTTTGGCCTTCAGTCACTTTTCTTAGTCGTACTGCTTGAAGATCTCGAAGAGTCAAAGCAACAGGGCCATTTTGTTTCTCCTATTAGGGGACAGGAGGAAAATTAGTGCAAAACCTAAAATAGTGCAAACCTTCATAACTTGTCTTCTCAACAACCAAAGTGAAGTGAATTGAAAAATAAACTTTTACCTTCACAGAGGTAGTTTGAGCAGTTTTTAGGGGAATTGAGGCCACTTTCGGAGCAGCAAGTGTCAACAGAATTTGAGGAGGAGGAGGAAGAGGAGGTGGTGGTGGTGGAGGTGGAAGGGAGACAGGCGGAGGTGTTGAGTGCTGAACACCATCAGGCATTTCACATTGACCGCCTGCAGTCTTGGCTTCTCGATACAGCTATCAAGTAATATTTTATACACTTTACAAGCACTGGAAATGAAAATAATTAAAGAACATTCTTTTCAGTACAGCTGAAATGTTCTAACCTTCAAAGTGGAATGCAATAGTGCTATTTCCCTTTGCAGCTCCTCTACTTTTAGGTGAAGGGACTCCACTCTTTCGGAATAGCCTCTCCAGAAAAAGAAGACATTCAGGAGTCCAAAACAAGTCTAAAAAAATAAGCTGGTCAGACATTGGAAAGCTCTTTCTCTTTTGAACTCTAATAAAAAAAGAAAAACTTACTTGATTAATTGTCTTTCCGCATTTTTGCACAACACTTCCAAATGCAGAAAACAGAGCTCCAATACTTAGTGTTGAAGACAGCTGTTTAGTGGTTTGAACACTTGTCTCCTCCATAGTGTCCACCTTTGTTTTGTTGTCTGGACTGGGTGAAAGCATTACCAGAAAGTAAAGTTAAGTATATATATAGTAGATATACAGTTAGCTCATAAGCCTTTTATTTTCAAAGTCTTAAAGGGATAGTTTACCCATATTTTGAGAAATGCCTCAGTTTATATAATACAATGGATGTCAATGGACACCAAAACGGTTTGGTCACCAACATTATTCTTCAAATATCTTCTTTTCTGTTTTACAGAAGAAAGTCATACAGATTTGGAACAACACAAGGGTGAGTACATGATGAAATATTTGTCATTTTGGGTCAAGAATCCCTTTAAGTCTTCAAAATAAGGATAAAAAGTGTTCATGCTTTTTTAAAATACTACATAACTGACATTTTTACAGCAAATGAAGTTATTATTTTGTCTTGTGGATTATATGTAAATATCTAGTATTTAATATCTAGTATATCAAAGTATATATATACTTTGATATTTACACATAAGTATATACATGACAAGTACATGATATGTGGTACAACAATCCTAAACTATACTGTAAGTGTTTATGAAAGCACTGTATTTACAGGCATTGTTTTTGTGGATATAAAAATGATACAGTTGCTCACACAGGGGCCGTTGGTATGGCAGGAGTCCCAAGTGGCTTCTTGCTCTTTATGGTCCAGCGTCGACTGCTGCCATTTCTCTTCCTCCGCCGCAGAAAGGCACCGCCGAGGCCCTGGAAAGGAATTACACATCGTTTAATGATTCATTATTTATTTATTTAAGTAGCTAATAGTAACAACATACCCTGAATCCAGGCATATCCGCAGCTGCTGACAGCTGTAAGCCTGATTTTGAAAATAGTTCCTTATTGTTTACCCTCCAATAGGAGCGCAGCTGAAGCGCGGTGGGGCGGGTTTTAACTTTTGATTGGTTAAGGAAGACGGAAAGGGTTTGCGTCAATCACTGCAGCGGTTTGTCTGTTACCATAGCAGGAGCGTAAACAATCATCAGTGAGCAGTAGAGCGTGTTATTTCAGTGTAAGCAACAACAATAAATCAGTATAGTTTGATTTAAGAAACATTTCGGAGCAGTAATATTTCAAAACGCCAAGTAAAATAAGTATCAAGTCAAGACGCGCCAACTTGTAATTTTTAGTCAAACACATTTTTTTGTTAAGAAACATACAGACAGCCACATTTTATGTGCTCAAACTGTAACTAATGGCTGGAAAGGTTCTCTGTGAGGCATCAGAACTGTACAACATCCTAAATCAATACACTCATCTACCAAGGCTTGCAGAGAGCAACTATCTTTGTCTGATTGGTAAGAATTAAGAAGTTATTCCTTAGAACTGAATCCCTGGCTGTACATTTACTGTACTAATTCAAATACCGACAAATGAAAGTGAAAGTGAAAGTATAATTGTAACAATAATCCTATTTTTCAGATGCCCGTGCAGCAGAATCATATAACTTCAGCCACATCATTACTGCCAGAAATGCAAAATGGGTATGTTTCAATTTCATGTTTTTTTTTTCTCCCCTAAAGTTTATGGTTTTGGAACATTGTAGAATATAAAAACATAACTTTTCAATGGCTTTTCTTGCTTTTCAAAGGATTCTGATGGGAAGTTTATTATGCCCTTGGATGTTGAGGTTGAAAGTATGAGGTATATCATTGTTTATGACAGTAGTACACATTCTCTGTCAGATTCAGGTAAGACACTACCTTTTCTAACATTTTGAACTCTGAAAACACCTCTGAAAACCTCCTAACTGTATGTTTTTCTTATAGGTCCAGCTATGGACTGTGCAGACAGCATAGAAAAAGTGAGCCAATTTCCAGTTCAGATTCTTAGTGGAGGCTATGAGAAGTTTTCTGCACTCTACCCTTTCCTAAGAACGCAAAAGATTCTTTACAATATTAGGGTATTATTCTAAATAGATCATAAATTAAACATTTTTTGCTGTTTATAAATACAGTGGGTACGGAAAGTATTCAGACCCCCTTAAATGTTTCACTCTTTGTTATATTGCAGCCATTTGCTAAAATCATTTAAGTTAATTTTTTTTCCTCATTAATGTACACACAGCACCCCATATTGACAGAAAAACACAGAATTGTTTAAATTTTTGCAGATTGATTAAAAAAGAAAAACTGAAATATCACATGGTCCTAAGTATTCAGACCCTTTGCTGTGACACTCATATATTCAACTCAGGTGCTGTCCATTTCTTCTGATCATCCTTGAGATGGTTCTACACCTTCATTTGAGTCCAGCTGATTTAAGGGGGTCTGAATACTTTCCGTACCCACTGTATATTTAATGATCATAAATACATATATTCATAGGAAGTGGAGAGCTTGAATCCCTATCCTGTGGAAATCTTGCCAGGCAAACTTTACATGGGTGATTACAGGCAGGCCACAAACCTTCAAATCCTTAAAGATCTGAAGATGAATGCACTTGTCAATGTCTCTGATGAATGCAGTCTAGTGTGAGCCAAACCCACCATCTCATATATATTCATATATTGTATGTAATCATAGTATTTTAAAAAAAAAAGTCCATTCTTATCATGGCCTGAAAACTCAAATTAATCTATGAACTGAACTTTGCAAACTAGGTTTAAAAAGGCAAACTGCACTGTCTTACACATCCGAATTGCAGATTCTGCAGAAGCAGATTTGATCGCTTCATTTGAGAGAATGTGTGTTTTTATTGGTAAGTACTAGGAGATTTTTTTGTCCAGTGGATGAACACTAAATCAAAGAAAAAGAAATCTGATGTTCAATTATGTTTGTGGGTCTTTTAAACATTTCAGGTTCACATCTCAATACTTCTTCTGTTCTGATATTCTCTACTCTTGGAGTAAGCCGATGCAGTGCTGTAACAATGGCATATCTTATGCATCACCTCAAGTACACACTAAAGGTAATGTTTTTACTTTTGCATTTGCAGTTTGCATTGATGTTATTGACAGATGCTTTTTTAAAATGTTTGTCACCTGTCATTTCTGAATATTTTAGGAGGCATGGAATCATATTCAGCAGTGCAAAGCCAACATGAGGCCAAATCGAGGATTTGTACAGCAACTTTCTGACTGGGAACTTCAGACTCTTGGGAAGAGAGTGACAGATATATCTGAACCCAAATACTGACAATAACAAAATTTAACAGAAACATCATGTGCACATTCATATTCAATGATTTTCTACAGTCACTGATGATAAAGAATCATAGATTATTTAATATTAATATATTAATTAAAAATTATATTTAAAAAAACTATAAATAAACTACTTCCCGTAAACACACTAGACCAGTGGTTCCCAACCCTGGTCCTGGAGGCACCCCAACACTGCACGTTTTGCATGTCTCCTTAATCAAACACACCTGATTCAGGTCATCATCTCATTAGTAGAGACTCCAAGACCTGAAACTGGAGTGTCAGAGAAAGGAGACATGCAAAATGTGCAATGTTGGGGTGCCTCAAGGACCAGGGTTGGGAACCACTGCACTAGACAATATTAGAATGTACAAAATAGGGTAACACTTTACAAATAAGGTTCCATTAGTTAGTGTTAGTTAATGTATTCACTTACATGAACAAACAATGAACAATACATTTATTACAGTGTTTATTAATCTTTGTAAATGTTAATGAAAATTCATTGTTAGTGTTAATGTTAGTTAGTGTCATGTTAATTCACAGAGCATTAACTAATGTTATCAAGCACAACTTTTGATTTTAATAATGCATTAGTAAGTGTTGACATTAACTAAGAATAATAAATGCTGTAGAAGTATTGTTCATGCTTAGTTCATGTTAATTAAAGTAGTTAAATAATGAACCTTATTGTAAAGTGTTACCTAAAATAGTGTTTAAGACATCAAAATAATTGTCGAACTAAGTATTGTTCATGCTTAGTTCATGTTAATTAAAGTAGTTAAATAATGAACCTTATTGTAAAGTGTTACCTAAAATAGTGTTTAAGACATCAAAATAATTGTCTGAGATAATATATGCCACTAAAAATAACAGGTTATGTCATAAGACAGGAGGACGACTACTCTGCATTTTCTTCCACTTTACTGTATATGTTGCTTTAACACATATACTGTGTATAATAAGAATGCTGTAATTTTAATAAACCTTTTAAAAAATTTCTGCCAATCCATTATTCCTATGACCTAATAAGAGGTTCTGTCTACAATTTCAACATTGACACTGAACTCTGGTTATTCAAAGTTGGTATATTTGGCTCTATGGGCGTCTGTGGGAAGTCAGTAGAGTAGACTATAGCGTCTCTGACGTAGCTGTCTTGTTTTGAAAGCGCTCATTGGTCAGATTGCAGGGAGGGGCGTTTCATTATGTCGCGGGGTCCGTCTCTGATTGGCTACGCTTGTTGTGAAGCTGCGTTCAGATCAGAGCCATAGAAAGAGAGAGTTGCGTCAACGGAAGTCCAAAACGCTCGATCGTCACGTGGTTCACGTAGACCTCAAATAGTTCCAGGAAGTTCATAGCGGGCAATTGAAATACATTGAGTTGGAGAGACAGAACTGATTTTTCGTAATTAGTAGACAATAAAATAATGTATTTACATTATTTATAAAATAATGTATACATGTATACGTAGTATATATATGTAGTTATATCAGTGTTGTTTTTAAAAGATAAAATCCGCTAATATTTGAGGATTAATGTGGTCAGCTATCCTTACCTGCCTTGTTAACATATTTTAGGCTGAAGTTACCATGGTAAAAGTCCGTGTTTGCTATATAAACGACATTGTGGTCTTCTACCAAGGTAACTTCAGCCTCTCCATATAAATATAATTATATATGTGTGTTCTTACAACTTGCATGTTAGTCAAGTTCAAGCACATCTTAATGTTCATTGTCGTTTTACTAATCTCAAGGTAAATGTTAAGTTTGTTGTCTTAGAAAATTAATTCCAAATAAATGAAGATATTTTATTAAGTGAAAACTAATCTTGTTTAATGTTTTTGATTCTTGTGCACCCCTCAAATATTAATATATAAAAAATATATTTGTAGTATATTCCAATTTAAAACAACTTAAAACATTTTTACACATTTAATCATATATTTTATGTATGTTGACTTTTGTTATGCACTTATTTACAGCAATCGATTTATACATTTATAATAAACTATAAAGCATGTTGTCCTTGAACAGTCTCCACTATAGTTTGCTCATGTATTCAGAAACAATGAAATATATACAGAAACAATGAACATATTAAAGCAATGGTTACATGATTGTATCATGTTGATTACAATGCAAGGAAAATGTAGCAGTGTTGTATGTTTATTCAGAGTCAGCTTCATCTGAAGTCCTCTCAAGGGTTGGCGTCATCTCTTCACAGGTGTTGGGTCATCTGAAGTCTTCGTAAGAGGCTGGATATAGTCAGCAGGAGCAATCTATAGATTACACCAACAAAATGTGATGTAATCATACTAGGGAACTGGCACTTTTTCACAAAGACACAAAGAGCAGGGAAAGACTTGCCAAAACCAGTGAAGAGACTCATTGTGAGGTTGATGCTCTTTACAGGGAGTCTTCAGGTGGTTCTTGTTCTGAAAGCAAGATAGCGAAGGAGAAAAAAACAGGAGAAATGGTTAAGTGATGCTCCGTCACATTGCAGTCCTGTGGCATCACTGCTCGGTCTGTTCCTTCAACACAGTACTTCTTTAGTAGCTAAGACGTTTAAGTATAAAATACAGTATCGAGTATCGGTCAAATGTTCTGAAAAAAAATCGATTTTTAAATGTTTTGACAAATCGCCCAGCCCTAGCTGAGACTTTTGATGTTAATGTTCTTCCATCTGGTCTCATCATCCACCCAGATGCTCCACACCTTAGTGCAAGTCCAGATGGCAAAGTGGTGCACCCAAATGAAGAACCTTCCTATGGCCTGGTAGAAGTTAAGTGCCCTGATGTGAAAGACATTGGAGAGGCATCACACATTGAATTTGTTGGGGGCCAAGCAAAACTAAGAAAAACACACACCTACCATTGGCAAGTCCAAGGTCAGCTGATGGTTACTGGCTTAGCTTGGTGTGATCTGGTGACAAATACAAGGGGTGACTTCAATGTAGTGGACTCCGCCATTGTTCGGCTAGCGCTTTCACCGGAAAATATTTTTCCCTACTTCCGGTTTGCCTACGTCACGTTGTGAAATAGGCCTATTGCTGTAAAAAACTGGTCCATTGGAGTGAACGGAGTTGTCGCAACTCTCTCTCTCTTCTCTATGGCTCTGGTTCAGATGGCAGATGTGTGTCAAAGATATCGAGGCGCTCCGACAACGGTAGAACAGACCGTTATTCTCTTCACTCTTATCTGGGAACCTTTCATCAAATACACTCTCTGGAAATGTTATTTAACCCGACTACATACCCGACTGGCTTAAACGAATGTTTACAAGAATGGGAGGATCTGGAAAAAGACTATCAACAAGTTCAGGTGTGGAGTCTTTCTTTCTTTAGTGCTAATCAGATAGCAGGGCAGCTCTGAACTATGAGACCTTACTCTTCTATCTTTAAATGTTTTTATATACATCATAATTGTTTTATTTACAAATATTTCGAAGTATCGCTATGAATAGCTGGTTGTATAGTTAGGCTTCAGCTTTAATCACTAGCTGCTTAGCACTTTAATCCTAAACCAACTTTTTTGACTTTAAATACACCAAAAATATCAAAATGACTGTTCCTCATGATATTGCTATATTCACGTCTTTGACCAATTGCACATTTCTAATGTCTATATTTGTTGCACAGGAGACACATCGACTTTACAAACAAAAGCTGGAGGAGGTTTCGAAACTGCAGGACAGCTGTTCTTCTTCTATTGCACGGCAGAGGAAAAAGTTAAAGGATCTCAACGAATCCCTGCAGGAGTCAGTTATGAGTTATATATGCTTTGGTTAAAAATAAATGTTGTTGATCTATATCTTATATTCATTCATTTTTTTCATAGATGCAGAGTGGTAGCGAGTTCAGAAGATGTAAATAAAATAGATGAGATCCAAGATTCCATAAAGGAAAGATCAAACGTCTTTTTTGAGATGGAGGCCTTCCTGCCAAAGAAAAACGAGTAATGCAAATGAGAGATATTTAAAATACACATTAAAAGCATTTACAAGTCAAAGCAGGTCATACAGATCTGTATTTGCCTGTTACTAATTCAGTGACCTTAAAATACTGTAGACTAAAGGTGTGGTATATATTTCAATAATAATTGATAGTGGTGTGTGGATTTGTAATTGACCTTGTTCAAACACATACAATGATTCTGCAAGCACCTGATGATAACTCTGTTCTTGTTCCAGGTTATACCTCATTCTTGTGCTTGGAAATGTTAACGTAACACTCCTTAACAAGCAGTCCAAGTAAGTTCTCTGAACAGTCGTATTTGATTAAAATGTTCTGAAAAATTCTAACACCACAATAGCCTTAACTTGTGATCATCATCTTTAAACAATGTGGTGTCATGAAATGCAGTCATGTTAATGAGTCATGCGTCATGTGATTTGTCTGACTCTTGCCTGTTTCTCCATTGTACAGGTTTGCCTATAAAGATGAGTATGAGAAGTTCAAACTATACTTGACTGTGCTGCACTTGTTGTTCTCATTCACCTGTCGGTTTTTGGTCAGCTACAGGTACATGTTTATTCCAATTAAATATGAAAAATTGAGGGTTAGCCTAATAGTGCTCTAGAGAGTGTAAAAGTGTCATTTTTAAATATGTAGCAACAGCCGTTTTTTAATCATTGACTATATGTAATTCTACATGTTTCACTAATACATGTGAAATAACCAAATTAATTTATGCGTTTGTCTTTGCTCCCTTGTGTTCTTACAGGGTTGTAGATGCACTTTTCAGCTTCCTGTTGGTGTGGTATTATTGTACATTGACGATAAGAGAGAGCATCCTCATTAATAACGGCTCCAAGTAAGAATAATCATATCATTATACTCTTAAAAATAAAGGTTATTTTAACTGTAATAAATGTAACATTGCCTTCTAATAAAGGATAAAGGTTGACTAAATAAAGAAAGAAAGAAAGAAAGATTTTTTTATTGGCATTTATGGTTCCATGAAGAGCCTTAAAGATCCATGGAACCTTTCCACAGTCCTCGCACAAAAGGTTCTTTATAGTGGAAAAAATTAAAATGCTCTTTTATAAGAAGTGTTCACTGGATGGATTTTTGGGGAACTCAAAGTGATTGTTATATGGCATCACTGCGAAAACCTCCTTTTTGAAGATTTTTTTTTTTTAAACAGTGTATGTAATACTCAATTCTTGCCATGTATTAATGCAGTACTACAGGCTATACTGTAAAGTTTCAATACTTGGTTTCAGGATCAAGGGCTGGTGGGTGTTTCAACACTATGTCTCAACATTTCTCTCTGGAGTAATGCTGACCTGGTAAGAACAACTTAACTCTTTAACACAGTGAGATATTACAGCATTACATCTTTGAAACTTTGGCACTTTAATAAAGAGTATTTTAATATGTATTAGATTAATCAGATTAATTTATTCTGATTAAATGCTTAAAATGAAATGTGTTCAAGTAGGATAGCACACTTCATAGTCATTTTTGAGGATCAGTAGTACAGAATAAGTGTGAAAAAGAGTGAGAGATAATGTGTGAATATCAGATGTACGTCAACTGTTCATTTGTCTCACAGGCCTGACGGTGAACTCTACCAGATGTTCAGAAATCAGTTCCTGTCCTACTCCATGTATATAAGTAAGAACTGCTGCCTTACAGTATTAGTAACACTTTCAGTGTATTAATGATTTATTAATTGTCTTATTTAATCATTTAATTTTCTTGTTTTGTTCTCCATTCAGATTTTGTTCAGTTTCTCCAGTACTATTACCAGAGTGGCTGCTTATATAGACTTAGAGCTCTTGGAGAAAGACACAACATGGACCTCACTGTTGGTGGGTAGTGTGTTCTTTTCTCGTCTTTTTTTCCTTATTCTATTGCAGATTTATATGCTAACACATGTTTTCACATGTGCTTTATGATCAGAGGGGTTTCAGTCCTGGATGTGGAGGGGTCTGACCTTTCTCCTGCCTTTCCTTTTCTTGGGCCATGTAAGTTTGATACTGTGTTTGTTAATCTTGGGTTATTTTGCAATAAATGCAATCATCTTGCATGGGAAAATAGCTCACTTTCTGTCTTATGGCTATGTAATCATCGTGGTAAAGACTTCTTCTGGTGGCACAGAGGGCAATATGTCAGTTTAAAGCTGTAACATAGTTAGAGATGATGTAACCATTATATTTACCTGTACCTGAATGACAGTACCAGACAAAAGAAGAGTTTGTTTAATACTGAAGTAAAATGTTGACAAGTTCTGATGTAATTCTATTGTTATTATGCTGTGGCTCTAACCGTCTTATTATGTATATACAGTTTTTCCAGCTTTATAATGGAATTACACTCTTCCAAATGGCC